GTAAGTAACCGAGGATATCTTTATATCTTTTATTTTTATTTTTTTTATATTTTAAAGTATGTTTTCGATTTAGATTTAACAGGTTTTTAGAGTAACACATTTGGTTTATCAAGAGTCTAAGAGTTTTTGATTCCTTTATTTCTAAATAATATGATGTATTATACATTTTTTTTTATCATTCATCCTTTCTGATTTTCATTTTAAGAGATAGGTGTTGTATTTAATTATGATTTTAACATCTCTTTTAATTTTGATTTTTACAGAATTATAATTTTAACAGGATAGTCATAGAGAATCTAGCTTTTTATGTTTTTTAATAAGTAAAGTACAAATAAGGTTACCGGTTCTAGATTCTATAGATTTTAGAGGAACGATTTCTGTAAATACTTAATTTTTTTACAAAGGATCGTTTTTATAACTTTGTAAATCTTACAGCGACCAATTATGTAACTATTTCTTATAGGGACCGTTTCTATAACTCTTAATTTTTCTTAGGGACTATTTGTGTAACTATTAGATTGGTATTACTGTAATTTCTTGAAAAACGAAGGCTTCTTTCTTATTTTTCATGGAATTTAAGAGTGGTATATATAATTATGCATAACTTCAAACAAAAAACGTGAAAACGCCCGTTTTGCGAAACAAGTTTAGGTTTTCACAAAGTATTTTTAGCTTGCTAATTCTTCTGAAACAAAGCAAATAAGACCATCCCTATCGGCAACCAAATGCTTGATTACTTGCCATATTTTAATTAAAAAAAATAAAAAAGTCTTTTAAAACTCACGATTAAACTTCAAGTTGTCATTTTCATTACTTTTTATTTATATATTTGTGATAACTCTTTTACACTTTAAACATTATGTTGTTAGTTGTAATTAGTTTAATTTTATTTTTATTAAAAAAAAATAACAAAACACATTAAAATACGTAAAATAATTTTGTCTACAAATAAAGATCAATATTGATATATTTTAAGAATTTTTTTTATCTTGTCTATATAATCTTAAAATAATAGAAAAAATTTGGATATAAATTGAAAAATATATAATATTTAGATTGTATAATATAATAAAAATCAATTATAAATAATATAAAAGTTTGGTTTGGGTTGGATTGCTATTGGGTGTGAAAAGTTGGTTTAGTTGGATTGTATAGATGGAAGAGAGATAAATTATTGAGTAAATTACACGAATGGTCGCTATGGTTTGGGGTAATTTGTACGTTTGGTCCCTAACTTATTTTTTTAACTCGGAAGGTCCCTACTGTTTGTTTTTGTTATGCGGTTGGTCCCTACTGTTTGTTTTTGTTACATGTTTGGTCCCTGTCTTACCAAAAACGACTATTATTTAAATAGGAAAAAATGATGGGGTAGGTAAGGTAAGATGAGAGGGGTGGGGTTGAGGGTATGTTTATTCAAATAGATTAAAAAATCAATAGCAAAATAGTCTTTTTATGTATGATAGGGACCAAGCACGTAACAAAAACAAACAATAGAGATCTTCCGAGTTAAAAATATAAATTAGAGACCAAATGCGCAAATTACCCTACACCATAGGGACAAACAATCGATTATTGGGTTGGTTTTGGTTATAATGGGAGTAGTCTAAGTAACTAGTTTTGCGAATTATATATTCAAAAATTACTTATTTGATGTCAAATCATTGCAGAAATGTTTTGTTACATAATAGTGTGCACTAGAGAAATTGAGGAGAGTTTCGTCAACGTTTCACGAAAAATATATTATTAAAAACATAAAACATAAAAGTTAAATTAGCATTGTGAGTTTTTACAAAACACAAAATCTTTAATTTCGAAAAAGATGATATATTAATATTGAAAATGTATTCGAATAGTAATAGCACACATGATGTTTTAATACTTTTGTGATTAATAAATTAATATTTCATAAATACACATGGACGTTTTTGAGGGTGGACGAAGTGGGCGACCGCACATAACCCATGTCGTAGAGGAGGCCCCATTTTACATATGATTAAGACAAAAGCTCATGTCTTTTCCAATTCCAATAGCTAACATTACAATTAAAAATTACAACAACTCAAGTTTTGAAAAAATTATGCTTAAAATTAAAAATTGTATTTGGGCCAATGCAAACTTACAGTAAATCAAAGCTTATGTTTTGTTTCTATTTCCAAATTTACAGTAAAATTGTAAAACTCAAACCGCATATTTTGTTTCTTGGTTTTCTGATTTTACTAGACTCCACCTCTCTCGTTTACATTGCACTCTAGTTCTATTTTTTTATTGTTAATTAAAATTAGGGATAATGACTTGAAAAGGTAATGAGCTTTCGATTTTTGTCACATTTAGTCACTAAACTTTTTTTCGTTATCTATTTGCCATTGAACTATTGAAACTGTTCACATTTTACCCATATGACCGGCTGTTGCCGGTCATAAGGGTAAAATGTGAACAATTTCAATAGTTCAATGGCAAATAGATAACGAAAAAAAGTTTAGTGACTAAATATGAACAAAATCGAAAGTTCGTTTCCCTTTAAAAGGTTCAATGACTAAATGTGAACAAACATCCTCTTGTATTATGTTTTAGCAAATTATTTATTTTTGTTAAATTGTAGCAACATTTGTTGATGAAGAAATCTATGAAAAAAAAAAAAAAAAAACCCTGAAAATATATTTAAAAAAAAAAACCAAAACCGAAATAAAAAACCAATGGTTTGACATTTTTCAAAATAAAAAATCAAATTTTCCAATCTGATTTTGATTTTACAAAAAAAATGAACCATTCTCACTGATGTGAATTATGACCATTGGTTTGGCATACGAAATTTGTGACATCCCATGAATATGTAGTTACAACATCGTCTGGACTCGTAATTCATAGTAAGGGGTTAGAGTATCATCAAATGAATACGTAGTTACAACATCGCCTGAACTCGTAATTCATCACCTACAGGTTATGGGCCTGCTGGTGTTTCCACTGGGTTGTCTAGAATAGTCCGTGGTCGCCATCTATACTCTGGTAGATGACTACATCGCCACATTGTTGGTTCAGGTTATGATATCTCCTTTCATCCGACATCACATATTCATCATCATCTATTTACCTAATTATCACCACCTTTCTATCATCACATATCTCTCATCATTTTATTTCATCACACACCAACTATTTCATCTACAAATGTTTCATCTGCAACATATTTGTAGATATAAAATAAATATACCATTTAAATCTTTTAAAACATGTATAAAATCGTTCATCCATCATAGACAGCAAGTATTCAAATAATATGCACACATAGCACGTAATTTATATAAAATACTTAATATCTATGTGTAAGATGAAAGTAACTATAATACCATAAATGCTTCCTAACTTTGAACCCCAAGGTTTACTCTACTAAAGCTTCATATTCTCGGCTCTCTGAATCTAGAAGGGTCCAGATCTATCACACCAAAAAGCTCAAGATAACTCTTCCTCTCACTCTACACACTCAAGCTCACTAGGGTTCTCACTTATGGGAAAGGTAGTTGCAATTGAAGGCCATAAGTGCCTTTAAATATGGCTCGAGCCCAAAGATTTAGGGTTTCTGCCAACAGCGCGGACTCGTCGAGCCGCCTCACTGACATGTCGAGTCCATTCATTAATCCGAGTCATCAGTCGCGACCTTACTCGATGAGTTGAGGCGTTAACTCGTCGAGTCTCTCTTCTTAACTCAAAAGAAAAATACTTAAATGATGATACCTGGAAATCCGGATGTTACATTTTGTTTTTTTATTTCATAGATTTCTTCATCAACAAATGTTGCTACAATTAAACAAAAATAAATAATTTGCTAAAACATAATACAGTAGGAAGTTTGTTCACATTTAGTCATTGAACTTTTTAGAGGGAAACGAACTTTCGATTTTGTTCACATTTAGTCACCAAACTTTTTTTCATTATCTATTTGCCACTAAACTATTGAAATTGTTCACATTTTACCCTTATGACCGGTAACAGCCGGTCATAAGGGTAAAATGTGAACAATTTCAATAGTTCAATGGCAAATAGATAACGAAAAAAAGTTTAATGACTAAATGTGACAAAAGTCGAAAGTTCGTTACCCTTTCAAGTCATTATCCCTTAAAATTAAACAACTAAGTATTTTACTGTTTCTATATTTTGATTGTTATGTTGATTAATGAACGTTACACAATAACAAAAATATTCTAAATAACTGAATAATGTTATAAGAATCTTATTGTATTATCATTTTTTCATTGTCTTTATAACCCAACCATAAATATTCCAAAATATTAAAATCATGATTATTGTACAGAACATTTGACCCCTTCAACAATATGATCATATTCGAACAAACTGCTTGGATCAAAGCTTCGGAGTTGCCATGTTATGCATGCAGGAGACTATCTTACATGATAGGATCCGACAACAACAAGTAACCCATGACGATTACCTACTAACACACCAGATTCCATCAACGTGCAAGCACGAAAGCTATGAACGCACATATATATACGCGCTTTTTGAACACTCAAGAAAACAGAAGCCGATTTTCCCGCGAACCAAACAAAATCTTTGTTTTGATTTTCTGTCTTTCCCGAACCGGCGAGAGTGAGGAGAGAGAAATCCCAAAATCCCAAAAATCCAAATAAAAAAACTCCCATCGAATTCACCTTCATCGTCTCCTCGCGTCAACGCTTGATTCATATCATATCTTTTCATCCGTTTGTTTGAATCCCTATACTATTTGGTCTTTTCCGTAAAAATTCTTGATTTTGAGGTATGACATTACTTTGTTTTCCATGATCCTGTAAATCACACGAATATTTTGATTTCCCTCGCGTTTCTTTGTAAAATTGTTTATGGGTATTACCTGTTCGACTAAATGCCTCAATGGAAGAATCAATCCTAATTGTTTCTTCTCATGATTGATCCAAACATATAACCCTCCAAGTTACACCCTTTTTGTTGGATCAACATTTTGTTGTAGTGATTAACATGTTTCAATCATGGGTAATGCAGGAAGTCTTTTAGGTAAATTCACATATGGTTTATTGATACAAGAGTACATTTTTGGATTTCTTTACCTTCTATTTGAAGGATGTCTTGTTGTGGAGGTGGCGAAGAGGAAGCCTATAGTGGTACACCCTCAAACAATATTGCTACAGCACCACCTCGAGGACCACCTTATGGTGGAGGTAAGAAACTAAGCTCCACCACATCCATGGTGGATTCTTCATTCTTGTTGTGTGTATAATGTATATATATAGGACATCATTCATAGCCAAAAAGTTGAAGTCTTTATAAGTGTTTTAGATCTTATTTTGTGTTTTTAGGGAGTAATAGAGGAGAGCCAAGGGGAAATGGACCTGCAAGAGGTGGGGCCCCTCAAAAACCCTTACCAATTGAAACACCAGCAGTGTCTTTAAGTGAGCTAAATAGAATGACAGATAATTTTGGCACAAAATCTTTAGTTGGTGAAGGTTCTTATGGAAGAGTCTTCCATGGAAAACTAAGCACAGGTGAAGAAGCAGCAGTAAAAAAACTGGATACAAGCTCTTCACCTGAGCCAGATAATGATTTTACAGCCCAGGTGAGAATTAATGCAAAAAATTGGATCATCAATAGCTCCTAATAATGCATGTTTTACAATTTTACAAATATTTATATAATGCAGTTATCCCTGGTTTCAAGGCTTAAAAACGAGTATTTTGTTGAATTAATCGGTTATTGCTTGGAGGGAAACAACCGTATCTTGATATATCAGTATGCAACAATGGGTTCTTTACATGATGTATTACATGGTAAATACACACTTTTAATTTCCTTGGTATGTTTTTTTATTTCTAGTCTTGATAATTTTATAAAAAAAAAAAAATTAATGGTGTATTTTATTTATTTAATAGGGAGAAAGGGTGTACAAGGGGCGGAACCTGGTCCAATCCTGACATGGATTCAAAGAGTTAAAATTGCATATGGAGCAGCAAGAGGTCTTGAATATTTACATGAAAAAGTTCAACCTTCAATTGTTCATCGTGATGTTAGGTCAAGCAATATTTTATTGTTTGATGATTTTCGAGCCAAAATTGCTGATTTCAATTTGAGCAATCAGTCTTCTGACACTGCAGCTCGCCTGCATTCCACTAGAGTGTTGGGAACTTTTGGCTACCATGCTCCTGAGTAAGTCTGTCTTTTGTCTGTTGTCTGTTGTCTGAAAAAAAAGATTCTTTTTCTCTGACATCTTTTTGACTTGCTTTATAGGTATGCAATGACCGGACAGATAACTCAGAAAAGTGATGTTTATAGTTTTGGAGTTGTTCTTCTAGAACTTTTGACCGGAAGGAAACCGGTTGACCATACGATGCCGAAAGGACAACAAAGTCTTGTTACTTGGGTGTGTTTTGCACTTTTGCTAATAATAATAATAATCATTACTCAAATATCTAAAAAAAATTCAATAATCAATACTTTGTTTTGGTTTAGGCAACTCCTAGGTTAAGTGAGGACAAAGTAAAACAATGTATCGATCCAAAGTTAAACAATGATTACCCACCAAAAGCGGTTGCAAAGGTCTCTCTCTCTTTCTTTTACACAACCAGACATTGTGATTTATCTGTCTCATGTTAAAATTTACTTTTTCATTTTCTTTTCTTTTTAATAAAATTTGATAGTAAATTGTTGTTGTTTGATAGATGGCGGCGGTGGCGGCGTTATGTGTACAATATGAGGCGGATTTCAGGCCAAATATGACGATTGTTGTCAAGGCTCTGCAACCGCTTTTTAATTCGAAACCAGCGGCGGCGGCAGAGCCTCAAACTTCGTAACCAAATTTCTAGAAAGTTTTATCTAGAAATCTTAGTTTGAAATGTACTAGAAAACCAATTATGGAATGGAATTGAATTCTTCTCAAAAGTCAAAAGTAGAAACTCTTGGGGGGTGTTTGGGATTGCTTTTTGAACTCCAAAAGTGCTTATTGACTTATGGTGGTGGCAGAAAAAGTTTTTAAAAAAGTGTTTGGATTAGCTTTTGTGGTGGCAAAAAACGATAAGTCAATAAGTTAAAAAGTGTTTGGCTTAAAATCTCTTTTTTGAAGCTATTGTGGTTAAAAAGTTAAAAGGAGTTACAAAAAAAAAAAAAAAAAAAAAAAAAAAAAAGAAAAGTTTTACTTTCTTTTTCAAATCTCCTTTTTGGAACTAATAGAAAAGCTATTTTAAAAATGTTTTTGACTTTGTTAAACATTTTTTTTTTGACTTATTGGTTTTTTAAAAAACCAATACGTTATTTTGAAAAGCAATCTGTAGACATGTTCCAAGATCCCGCTTGTCTGAATTTCAAATTTTTGTAATTTTCTTGGTCAGAGAATTTGTAAAAGTTATTCTTATACGAATGAAAGAGTTGATATTGATTTTAGGGCTAAATATAAGAAATAGCAACGTACTTTTATTTATGTTTTCTATAGCATCATTCTTCAATTTCTCTCTCTTAAGACATTGTACTTTCAGTTTTTTATTTTATGTATTAAAAGCAATGTAATTTCAATTTTTTTTATCAAGTTTCCAAATTTGTGTAATTATACAAATGGAAATTGTATTGTATTTACATGATATTCCTATAAGTTGAAAGATTTACAAAAATATAAGGGAAAACTCCATAAAAATCATTATATTTTGGCATCATAATCAATTTACTCCTATATATATATATATATATATATATATATATATATATATATATATATATATATATATATATATATATATATATATGTCCCAAAAACTTGCAGTTAGGGGTGAGCAAACCCAAATCGAGAAACCGATTAAAACCGAAGCAAAACCATCGGTTATGGTTTGAATTTTCTAAAACCCGAAAAATCGGGTTAGGTTTCGTTTTTTACCTAGAAACCGATCCATCTAACCCGAGAAACTGACCCATACTTGATTGTTTTTTGGTTGTAATAGACTATTTATGACTTTGGTTGTAACTTTTAATACACTATTTGGTTGTAAGACTCATCTTTTATGAAGTATTTAACTTTAATATGGTGTTTTTTAAAGTATTTAACATCTTAATTCATTTCTTGAAAATGGGTTAAAACCCAAAACCCATGAATTTAAACCCAGAACCCGTGAGTGTATGGGTTGAACCCAAGAAACCGAAAAACCGACCAAACTAACTTTAAAATCCAAGAAACCGAACCGACCAGAAACCGATCCTATTAGGTTCTAAAAAACCAAAAACTGACTGTAGCACCTGGTTCCTGGTATGTATTCTTGATTATTAACTCTCCTTTTGTATTGCATTTTAACCTTGGACTCGGCGAATTGAAGGACTAACTCGCCGAGTAGAAGCAGGTCTAGTCACGGGATCAACTCTGGCTACTCGGCGAGTAGGGTCGTGGGACTCGGCGAGTAGACCCTGTCTGGACTGAAACCCTAACCCGGGTGTTTGCATCCTATTTAAACGATCTAACCTAGCCTCCACTACCCCTAGCACTCCAAGAGATCTGTAGAACGAAACCCTAGCCTCCTTTGTGTCCTTGTGGGTGATTTTTAGCATTTTTAAGGTGTTTTGGAGCTTGGGAGAAGAAGGAGAAGGGTGAAGAGTGCAAGAAGGGAAGAAGATCCGGAATATACTCTGTGAAGGGCTTCTATTCAGGTAGAAAAGTTCTTACCTTGATCTTTAGTTCATTGAACCCCCTTTCTTATCCCTAAAAAGAGGTTTTAAGCCCTAAGAACCTAAATCTCTATGTGTTTATGGTTAATGTTCTGCAAGGACTTCGGATTTGGACCTTTAGGACATCCTAGTAGCATAAAGTCTCTGTGGTTGAGGTGATTAAGGTCCCTATTGAGTGTAGGACCTCTTAAAGAGCTTGGAATTGCATATTTGAGCTCATTGGGCCATGCATGCACGTAAAGTTTGCAACTTTACGTGGTAAACATGCCCTAGGATCATAGATCTGTGGTTTTGAAGCATTGCACGTCTCAGATCTGGCCTATTTGGGAAATAGGTCGAGGAACTCGGCGAGTCCCAAAGTGGTACTCGGCGAGTTCTATGAAGATGGTCTTAGACTCGGCGAGTTGGATGAACAACTCGGCGAGTCTTATGAAGATTGCCTGGAACTCGCCGAGTTGTTCTTCAAACTCGGCGAGTCGGTACTCAAGTCGGCCCCATAGTCCCGAGTGGTGAGTCAAGGGTGACTCAGTGAGTGGGGAGAGGGACTTGGCGAGTGGGACCGGATTAGTAAGGGAAGGACTCGGCGAGTTGCTCGTGGACTCGGCGAGTCCAGTCAACTGGAAGTTGACTTTGACTTGGATTTCGACCTGGTCGAGGGTAAAAGGGTCATTTTACCCTAAGAACATCTAGCAGTGTTTGACTGATCGTTTTGTAGGATTTATAGCCGGAGGACGTTCGGAGCAGCAGCAGCAGTAGACAGTCAGTTTCCGATCAGTTCAGCAGCTACTTTGAGGTGAGTTGCCTTCCAGTAGCGGTGGGTCTAAGGTCACAATGTCGGCCCACCAGTATGAGATGTATGATTAGATGATTGTCTTTGTGATATTCATCTAGGGTTGCTACTACCTGTGCTATGTTTATGTGTTAGCGACAGTAGGGGGAGATAGTCCCCCAGAATACCGACCGAAAGGGCGGTCATGCCCAGCCATGCTAGATAGACTATGTGATATATGTGTTATGCGGTAGTAGTAGGGGTGAAATAGTCCCCAGTATCCGGTCGAGAGGACCGAAGGGGAGGTCAGCACCAGATATGCTAGGCAGCATCCGGTCGAGAGGACTGAAGGGGTAGGTCGGGCACCCAAATATGCCTGACAATTTATGTATGTTATGTGATAATATGGTATGTGGTACAGTGGGGGAACTCACTAAGCTTCGTGCTTACGGTTTTCAATTTTGGTTTCAGGTACCTCTTCAGTTAAGGGAAAGGAGTCGGCGCGGTAGCAGCATATCACACACACTCTTGTTTCCGCAGCTATGAGTTTATTCTGGGATTGATACTCTGATATTTTGGTTGTTTACATGTTGTGGATTTCAAATTTGGGTTTTAGATTTGAAATGGTTTAATTAAACAATGTTTTAATTATTAGTGTTTTCTAAGTAAAGTTTTAAAAATGAAATTTTGGACGTGAAAAATTAGGTTGTTACACTGACCATTTATGGATTAGGTTGGGTTTGGGTCCAAAATCGACCCATGCACAGCCCTACTTGCAGTTGTATTCATTTTAACAATTTTACCCGGTTAATAGATTATCTCAATTTCAAAATTTACACTTGCCCTAGATTATAAATTCTATTATAAATGTGGTCAAAATTTTCCTTTTTTAACTACGGTTTCAAAAATTTGTTATGAGTTCATATTTAGTTTTTTTACATTATTTTTTCAAAATTTTGTTTCGGAAATGTTTTTTTTTTATAGAATCACATTTATACAAAAAGAAATCATTCACGTAAAAAAAATTTGTATAAAAACATTTTTTAACGTGTTTGTACACAGATACATTTATTATAAAAAATATATATACAAACACTTATTTGTATACATCTTTTACTAAAAATGTATACAAATACGTTTTTATAAAATATATATATATATATATATACAAACACTTATTTGTATATATTTTTTCATAAAATCGTGTTTGCATAATTTTTTTTTAATAAAAACGTGTTTGTTTACAAGTTTTTTATATAAATGTTTTTGTATACAAATGCATTTATTATAAAATTGTTGTTGGTATATATATTTTCTTATAAAATACGTGTATATACATTTTTTTTATAAAAATGGATTTGTATATATTTATCTATTCATATACACACAATATTTTTATCTACTTAATAAATACTTATTTTATAAAAGTTATTTACGATATATATTGGTATAATAACTTATTTTACATAAGTGGATTTCCCGCATTTTCACATAACTATGTTTTTATAAATAGGTATTTAAAATTAAAAAAATTCATATTTTTATAAACAGATACTTCGCATACAAAAATCTTTTCTTAAAAAAAGGTTTTTATATAGAAAAAATTAGGTTTTTAAAGTGAATTTTTTTTTATAAACATGATTTTATACAGAAAAAAAACATTCAAAACAAAATTTTGAAAGAAAAAAAAAAGATGTACAAAAACTAAACTTGAGTTAAAGTTATAATAAAATTTTGAAATCTAGAATACAAGTGTAAATTTTGAACCCATTTGTAATAAAATTTAAAATATAGATCAAAAATGTAAATTTGAAAAATAAGTTGCCCTGATTATCAGATAAAATTGTCAAAATAAATACACTTATCCGTTTTAGGGACTTTAACTGAATAAAAAATATACAAAAAATAAATCGATGAGACCAAAATAAAGTAAACTGTAATAACAAAAAGTAATATTAGAATTAGAATACTATAATAAAAAAAAATACATTGCTATTTTTCGTATTTAACCCTTCATTTAAGATTAGTTAAGAGCAAAGACATAACTATTAGATTGTTTGATTCTCACATACCACCATTTTAATAAAAATGACAGTTAAAATCATCCATGTCGACACGTAATAATATGATTATGGAGGCGTTTACCAACACATCTTAAGATTTCTACAAGTTTAATCTTTACATGACAATAATGCTAATATGGGATTTGTCGAAAAAAAAAAGAAAAATATATATCAATGCCTTTGCCTTTGCCTTTGCATTACCTATTAAGTTATATTGAACCCCCGATATTCTTTTAAATTAAATCTTCTTCTCCCTATCAAAAGAAACAAGTAACCAAACGAAACAAGACATGATTTAATTAATTCTTTTTTTCTTCTATGGGACAAAGGTAATATTAGTAATAGTAGTAGTAATAGCATGATACAAAGTAGATTTTTCCCCAAATGCCTTCCTATCCAAATCCATCTACTCTTCTTTTCTTACACAATGCTTTCTCTTTTACTCTTTACTTCTATCTTCAATTCAAGCCTCCACCTTTTTCACTTTTTTCCACCAACCTACACCCCATTTCATACAAAACTTAAACCTTATAAATAATAATAAAAAATTTTAATTTTAATAACAATAATAATAGAGAAATTTTACTTATCAACGTCTAGTTCGAGGCTTGCAACGAAATTCAGCCA